AAACGTCAGCCTTCCTGCTCCTCTGATGCTGCTTGGCCTGCTGTGTTCATCCAGCTCTACACCTTGTTATCTCAGATTCTCCAGCATCTGCAGTTCCTACTATCTCTTATTCCATTGACACTCTGGTAGTTCACAATCATCTGCTCTCTGACACAAAACAAAACAACACCTTTTGCCACTATTTTGAAATCCAAACTTATGTATATCACATGACTTTCAGCACAATTAGTGTGAGTGTGTGAGAATGAGTGAGTGTGAGAGAGTGAGTGAGATTGCAAGTGAGAGAGATAGAGAGACAGCAAGAGAGAGAGAGAGAACAATTGAGAGAAAGAGCAAATGAGACTGAGCGAATAAGAGCATGAGTGAGTGAGTGAGAGAGAGTGAGAGAGAACCCTAGCACTTGATGTGAACCAGGCATACACACACATAGACAAGGACTGCTCAGTGCAGGGACACACAAACACTTACCCTCATGCTCCTCCTCACTGCACTGATCAAATACCCAAGCTGAAAGACAACATACTTTAGTATAAATTTTTTTGAGGATCAGAATGCAAGGTTGGTGACAGTTAAACTCAGCTCCTGGTTTAGGCCCAATCCCAATCTCCTTCCCTGATGACTAGGAATTGGGGCCTGGTCTCTGAAATAACTCCAACGGCTGGTATCCGTCACCAAGTCACCCTTTATTTATACATGCATAGTATTCAACACTGGTCCAGCTTCCTCAGAGTCAGCTCCCAGAGTGACAAAATCCCTGACACCTCTGTTTATATCTGTCAACCAGATTGGATTAACAGCCCCAATTAGGGAATGTATATTCTATGAGGTCTTTCTGGCTGACTACATTGCAATCACTAGATGCATTCCTCTCTAAGGCCGGGAACGTAGCCTCTCCTGGGTCATTTTCATCCTGGGTCTGGTTCCTCCTGCTCAGTCTCAGATAGAGGCAACATGTACAAAACACAAGCCCTCTGTGTGCACCCGGAGCATCTCGGAAGAACTTTTAACCACTTCTTCAGGTGGTGAAGTCGTCACTGCTGCGACATCCACTGTGTCCATCTCAGACTCTGAGATTTATTTGCTACTAGACAGAGGGGGAGAACCCATGGATCCCGACAGGCTTTCTGGCTGTTCTGAAGGGCCGGGTATGTTTTTCCCCTGCCCTGTTTGCAACTTTCATATAGTATAGCCCAAATGCTTGTTCAGAACTGCTGCACCTGCCTGGACTTTGTATGTCATGGGACCTGACCTCACACTGACCTCGCCTCTTACCCACGTAGGGCCATTTCCATGGTTTTGGCACCAAACTTCATCTCCTGAAGTAAACAGTCTCTCTCACTTAGAGGAGTCTGTGTCTGGCATTGGCGTTCCTGATGCTGTTTCAGCCTCCTCACCCCAGCTTTGGGAAGATGAGGTTTAACCTGGTGCAGAGTTTGCTCCCCAGCAACAACTCTGCTGGACCTGTCCCTGTAGTTGCATGAGGGATGGTCCTACAATCAAACAGGAACCGGAACAGTTTGGTATCTCGTGAAGCCTTAAGCTGTTTCTTTAAGTCTGCCTTCAAAATTTGGTCTGCTCTTTCCCCCAGACCATTGGATGATGAATGATCTGGAGCTGACCTTTTGTGCCGAATGCCATTCAACTCTAGGAAATACTCAAATCCCCTGCTGGTAAATGATGGCCTGTTGTCTGTGACCAACACCTCCGGGAGATGCTTGCAGCTTTTCTATCGTCATCCCCATGTTTGACAAATGAACCCCGTGCACGTCCAACCACTTTGAGTGGGCGCCCTCAATGACTAAGAACATTGAGCCCATGAAAGGTCGATAGCCCATAGTAAACATGTAACCGAGTCCAGGGTTTACACAGCCATTCCAACGAATGTAGGGGGAGCTGCTGATGGTAATTTTTGTCCTTGTTGGCACTCTGAGCATTGGCCCACAAATGCAGCTGTGTCTCCATCCAGCCCTGGCCACCAGACATAACTTTTCGCCAACACCTTCATTTTGGAAACCCCTGGATGATCCTGGTAGAGTTCAGGCAGTATTTGGCAGCGTCTATGCTCGGGACAATCACTCTTGCTCCCCATAATAAAATGCCATCTTCGACAGTGATCTGGTCCCACCAGGTCCAGTATGGTTTCAGTTCTGGCTGTGATGGCCCTTCATTTTGCCCCATTACCACCGACTGTTTTAACTTTGCCAGGATTGGATCTTTTTGCATCCACAGTCGGATGTTGTCCGTGGTGAATGAAAGGGTGTCCAGAATATTTAAAATCAGGATGGACTCTTCCAGTGGCAGTACCACCGACGGTATATCTGCATCTGCTACTTGGTGTCCTTGACGGTATTTCAAATTGTAATTGTATGCACTTAGAGCGATAGCCCACCACTGAATTCAACCCGAAGCCACGGGCAGCACAGCCTTGTCCTCTTTGAGTAGCCCTAGCAGGGGCTTGTGTTTGGTTGCTATTACAAATTTATGTCCGTAAAGATATTGGTGGAACTTTCTCACACCAAAGATGGCCATCAAACCTTCCTTCTTTATCTGGATGTATTTGCACTCTGCATTAGCCAATGTCCAGGAAGCTTAGGCTTCCTCTCCAGTGGGCCACCTGTGTGCTAACACTATCCCCATATCGTCCAGGGACGCATTGCATGTCAGCACCACATCTCACTCAGGATCGAAATGTGCCAACACCTTCGTTGCTTCTTCACTTTCCTGAAAACTATACCTTGGCTACGAGACCATCTCCAAGGCTGACCCTTTTTCAGTAGCAGATATAAAAGGTGCCAGTTTGGAGGTCAGGATACATACGAACTTTCTGTAATAATTCACCAATCCAAGCAATGTCTTAAGCTCTGGTACGGAGGTGGGAGCTGGGGCATCTTTGAATGTCCTCACTTTATCTTCCAATGGTGTAATTGGTCTTGTCGATTCTGTAGCCCAAGTAAGTCATTTGGGGTTCCTGGAGCACACTATATTCCCTTCTAAGGCATACTGCTGCCTGGAAAAACATCTGAGGATTATGTCCAAGTTCTCTAAGTGCTCCTTATTAGTCTTCCCTGTTATTAGCACATCATCTAGATAAATGGTGACCTGGGGCAGCCCTTAAAAAATGTTCTCGATTGTCTGCTAAAAAATGGCAGAGGCTGATGATACACCAAATGATAGTCTCATACATTGGTACGTTATGGGTATTTATTGTAGCATAATTCTGGGAAACCTTATCTAACCGCGATTGCAGGTATGCATCATTCATGTCCAGCTTTGTGAAGGACAGCCCCCCTGAAGCTTTGCATATAAATCCTTTATGTGAGGGATTGGGTATTTATCCAGCTGTGAGAAGTAGTTGACCATTTGTTTAAAATCCCCACAAAGGTGAACCGACCCATCAGGCTTCACAATCGGTACGACCGGTGCTGCCCATTCCACAAACTGCACATGGTTTGATAATTCCTTCACTTTCCAGCCTCCTGGTTTCTGTCTCTACTTTTACCCATAATGCAAATGGCACTGGGCGGGCCTTGCAGAATCATGGGATTGCTTCCTGGTCAACACACCAGGTGGCCTTGGCTCCTTTGATAGTCCCTAGACCTTCCTGAAAAACATCCAGGTGTTTAACTAGGACTTCACTCAGGCAGCCATTTTTTAATCGAAAAATGTGGACCAATCAAGGTGAATCTTTATCAACTAATTTCGCCCCATCAGGCTTGGGCCTGAGCCTTTTAGTACAGCCAGTGGTAACTGAACCATCTGCTTCCCATAGGAGACTGGAACTGAAGCTGTACCTTTAATCCTGTTAGGGTGTTCCCCGCTATAGACTCTCAGTCTTGCCAAGGTCTTACGCAAACTTAAGGATTGGAGTCTAGAGTGAATTTTGTTAAAGACTGGTTCTGCAATCACTGATACAGCTGTGCTAGTAACAACCTCCATTAGAACTGGGTGACAGTTTAATCAGATGTTTATTTTGATTGGTTCCGATTTGGACGTTGCTAAGCAGTTTAACTGCTCCAAACCAGGTGTAGGGGGGTTTTCCAGGGTGTGCACTCTCCTGGATACCGGGCTATGAGTTTTCTTACTCTATTCAGGCCTCGTAGGTCTCTTTTGCTGTCTCCAGGCTGCATATTGACTTGCTGGCCTGAATCATGAAGAAAAATGTTCACTGTTTGACCAAGGCTTAGCTTTGTTTTAGGGTTTTTCTGTGGGGTGACCTAGAGTCCCTCTGTTTAGGATATGTCCTGAGTGTAATTTCCTTCACTCAAGTGATGTTCCCCAAACTCAGTTGGCCTGGTGAGGATGTCCACTTCCATGGGCATACCCTGTAACACATAAGCTTCACGTGCTACATTTTCTAATGATAAAGCCAGTTGTAGTGCCTGTTTGAAGTCCAGTTAGGCTTCAGCTAGTAGGCACTTTTCCATGGTTATATCATTAATCCCACACATCAAACAGACTTGCAGTATCTCATTAAGGGTTAAACCAAAATCATGTGCCTCTGCCAGTCCTCTTAACTTCATCAAAAATCCCGATACAGATTCCCATGATTCTCGAACTGCTGAATAAACTGATAGCATCTCAAAATTAGACGATGCCTGGGTTGTGATATTCCTTAACTAAATCCATCAACTCTTGAAAGATTTTAGTATCTGGTGCATCAGGAAATGTTAGGCTCCTAATAATCGAGAAAGCTGCGGGTCCACAAGCTGTCAGAAGAATTACTTGTTGCTTTTCATCTGTCCCAATGTCTTGTGCCCGGAAAATACAAATACTCTTTTCACATATTGAGCCCAGTATGTGGAAGAATCGAATGAGTCAAGCTTCCCAAATAATGTCACGATGCCAGAAATGCTTCCCCCAACTCAAAGATGCCTGTTGCGAGTGAATTACTTTAGCAGCGAATTTCTTCTTTTCTCTCATAGACATAACTCCACAGAGGCCAGTATCCTGTCACCGAGTCACCCTTTATTTACACATGGAGAGTCCTTGACACTGATGCAGCTCTCTCAGAGTGAGCAAGGCGTCTGACACTCCTGTTTATATCTGTCAGCCAGGGCTCCCTGATTGGATCAAATTAACAGCCCCCAATCAGGGAACTCATATTCTATGAGGTTGACTTGGCTGACGTCATTACAATCACTACAGTCTGCCGTTCTCTAACTCTGTTCCTTAAACATAATGATGAAAAACAATTGATCAGTTAGCTCTGCTGCGTGGCACTCCTTAATAGAAAGTTTTTTGGAATGACTCTTTTTTTCAGATTATCAATTTATTGCTTTGACTTTTGTTTTGCCTGGCAATTTGCTTATGATGTCTTCAGAGAAATTTATGTTTAATGTTCGAACAAGCCAGAACTCAGAGGATTGCTGCTGTGTTTCTTGCTGAAAAGCTCACAGGAGGTCTGACTGCTTTTTTGGAGGGCTAGCATAAGGTGTTATTTTTGCTTCATCGGAAATGAAAAGTGTTAGAAGTGTTCAGTACATCTGACACTGCATCTGTGCAGAGAGGAAACAGATGTCAGTAACTCTTCACTGAGAATAATGAAGGCTGTGGACCTGAAATGTTAACTTGGCTTCTCTCTCTACAATGGCTGCCAAGCCTACTGAGCATTTCCAGTTCATTTTTCAGCTTCTGCAGTAGTTTCCTCTCCTATCATACACTTCATGATTTCTATTTGTAAGTATTAGTTAGTTTTAATTAATTGAGATACATTTACCACTCAATGCAAATTGTATTTTATTTTCTGTCACACCTACTTGTATGGATTAGAATAGCAATTACTGCAAGTACATTGGTTCGTGCTTATTTACTGGAATATTTATTTTTGCTATTTTTATGATTAGAAGCAAAACCTGGAGTCATCTACTAATGTCACTGTGAGAGCAAGATATTCTCATTAGTACATGGGATTGCTGTTTGCAGTGCACGTCTTTTGGATGTTGTCGCTCAGACGTTGCATTGGGCCAGGTTCACAGTAGGTGAGCGTAAATGAACAACTGAGTTGCGAACAACCAGCTGACAAAGCCATCAGTGTAAAGCATCTCTGAAACCTAATCTTACAAACAGGGGCGTAATGCACAGAGCCAAGGGATTACTCCCAATGCCACTGTGACTACACATCAGATGGGTGTCGGGGGGACGGTCATGGGGTTAGGGATGTGGGGAGAGGGTGGATAAAAGGGTCTGAAAGCTGGAGAGAAACAACAGGACCCAGGAATCCACTCCCTCAGCCTGCTTGAAAGGAGCCTAGAACTAAGGCAGTCATCCTCTGACCTTACAGACTATAAAAAAAATGTACTTACTGTAAAATTATTTGCAGGTGATGGTGCTGACACGATGGTGTAGATTTGGGAAAGTGGTGCTGCCGTCTCTTCTACATGCACTGTGGCTCCTGTGTGAAATTAAAAGTAAATGGTGTCACAAGGAGTACATTAGAAAATCTCAGTGTCTTGCTATTCCCACCCACACAGAACCAAACCTTGATGGGCAAGGACCCAGAATCCAAAAACAAGTTCCTAATGAGGATGAACAGACAGCCCAAAATTGCAGTGACTTTACACTCATTACAAAATGAACAATCTGACAGGCTGGTTGGAGAATTGAGATTTGAGATTCGGGCTTTGAAATGAACCATTTCAAAGCAAGCTCGGGCCAGATCTTAACCAGATTTCAGACAGGTGTCATTTTCATCAAGTTTCTCTGTTAGGTCTAATGATTTTTCTCATGTTATTATCTCAAAATCACTTCATTAGCTAGGTACTGCATCACTATGGCATCCTGTCTCATCCAATGCTGGTTGGATTCTCTCATTCACCACAGCAGAAAGTATTTGTTGCTGCTGGGATATCCTGGGATACCTGACACTGGCTCCAGCTTTGATCCTCAGTCTTGTGCCCAATCCAGGATTGGCATCTGGAACTGCCCTTCACCATCAATGTAGTGACACAGCAGACACAAAGCTATCCCTCTCGTGGCAGGTTGTTGGCACAGCTGACACTGCCCTGCATGTACAACTGCACAGCCTGACCCTTGGTACTGTTGAAGCTCCAGATCACACAGTTTACAAGTTCTTAGCCACATGCCATCTTACAACTCTCTAAGTCAGTGCTCCTCTCTCTCTCAATGCCCACTGTAACCCAGCATCTTTTCATTGTTCACTGGGCACATGTAGGAAAGCCTCCAAACTGTTCATCTTTATTCACTAAAACCCAATGTGAACAAGAGGCACACAAACAGAAACTGTCTTTGGCACTTGGAACAGAAACATACTGCTTGCATGTTGAGCACTGACAACTTGATCATCAGTGAGTGATCCCTACACCCATCTTCCATTTACTGGGACTGGGTGTTGGTTACCTTCTGTCTGGCTTTGCAGCATCCAGCATTGTGCCACTGTGTGCCAACACCCCTTCATCCCACTCCCTTTGCCTGTTCCATTCTTACAAAATACTCATGCTAGGATTATACAGCATATTCTATCCAGGCTGCACTGTAAGTACTCCACTAAACCAACTACATCTTCAGGAAGCCTATCGCCTGCTCTATGAGGACCACGGTCAAAGGTTGGGCTGCATTCTATCAACATTTCACCGCAGTCCATGTGTTACATAGAAACATACAAACATAGAAGATAGGGCTAAGATGAGGCTATTTGGCCCCCTCAAGCCTGCTCTATCATTCAATATGATCATTGCGTTGAATACCCTAATCTCACTCTCCTTTCGTATCCCTTGATCCCTTTCACTACATCTACCTCCTTCTTAAATACACATCATGTTTTGGCCTCAGTCACTTTCTGTGGAAGTGAACACCACAGGCTCACCACTCCCTGGTTGAAGACATTTCTCCTTATCTCAGTCCTACCCCTTATCCTTAAACTATGCCCCTGGTTGAATAATGGACGTATCAGCCGCATTTGCAGAGGGTAGCCCAGTAACTGCACTGGCAATTGTTACTCCTCACTGGGGCAGTTCGCTGGAAATCAAGAGCCTGCTAGTCCTGGAGTTATTGCGAAATGTAAAGATCTCAAAAAGTACATCAAGGCTATACAATTTACATGTCCTTTAGAGCCAGTTTGTCAGGAAGCATATGCCGGGTTTCTGTACTTAACAAACTTGACTTTTGATTAGAAATAACTTGATTCTAATGCCCAATAAACAATTATGTCCTGTCGATGTTTAACTCTACTGGTTAAAACTTTAATGTACGGATAAAACACCCCCATTACACACACACACTCAAACAAACACAGACAGGATAGAAATATGGGTGTGATAGTCAGAGGGAAAGACTGGGAGGGCAGTAGTCCTTGTTCACAGGGTCTGCTGAGGTCATCCTTACACTGATCTTGACCTTCCTCATCCAAATACATTCACTTGCTTGTAGGAGGCGCAGGGAGGCAGCGTCACATTTAGAAAGGTCACTTACTAATTTAAAAAACATAACATTTGCAGACACTGGAATGGGGAAATGAACTGGTTGCCTGCAGATTTGAGATATGTTTCACTGTACAGCAGAACCAGCTCCAGAGATTTGGACGACTGAGAGATCCCACACGGGGTCCCAATGGCTCCTTGGAAAGAGCCATTCCTACAGTCGTTCAATAGAGCTGTCACTATGATGAAAAACTGGGAGAGGATGGCCATCAACCCCCTCAGGTTACAGGTCTCTGTCTCAGTAGTTTATGTAGTTCAGTGACAGTGTTAGGCTGTGCCTGACACATCGAGAGGAAATGGCAGTGAGCATGACAGACTCTGACCTTCATGTACCTACTGAGGGGACCTCTCCCTGTGAATGCTGGGAGCTAGATGTTGGCTTTGGGTTTGCTGACATATCTACTGCTGCTCTATTTCTCTGTACCTATGTTGCAACACAACAGCAAGCCCTGCTGTGCCTGATATATTACTTGGCCTTCCAGTGAACTTGTGCAGGGGATGTTAGAAACAGAACAAGTCCTCACTAATGAGAGCAGTTTGCATCACTCAAAAATGTCAGCTTTGCATAATGTTCCATGCAGTGGGACATGGAGCACTGTGAAAGGGGGCTCATGGAATGCTACATGACACTTTAACATTACACCCTATTGCATTGAAAACACCATTAGTCATGTCCCGAAGATACTGTAAGAGACTGCATGTGCTTTCATCGATCAGAGCATTGAGCATAGGAGTTGGGACATCTTGTTGCAGCTGTACAAGACATTAGTGAGGCCACATTTGGAGTACTGTGTACAGTTCTGGTCACCCTACTGTAGAAAGGGTATTATTAAACTAGAAAGAGTGCAGAAAAGATTTACTGGGATGCTACCAGGGCTGGAACATTTGAGTTACAGGGAGAGGGTGGGACCTTTTTCGCTGGAGCGTAGGAGACTGAGGGGTGACCTTAAAGAGGTCTATAAAATACCTATAGAGGCCTGGATAAGAAGAACAGCCAACGGCTTTTCTCCATGGCAGGGGAGTCTAAAACTAGCGACATAGGTGAGAGGAGAGAGATACAAAAGGGTCCAGAGGGTGATGAATGTCTGGAACGGGCTGCCAGGAGTGGTGGAGGCGAGTACAATTTTGACATTCAAGAAACATTTGGACAGGTACATGGATGGGTTGGGTATGGAAGGATATACAAAACACAGGCAAATGGGACTAGACTAAACTAGGTGGCATGGACAAGTTGGGCCGTAGGGCCTGGTTCCATGCTGTAAACCTCTATGACTCTATGATTGTGGGTACTGAACACTCCTCCTCCAGGTTCCCACATCGTCCACAAAAGGTACTACTGTAGAGAGACTGCGTTGTGTCCGAGTTACTGTTCAAGGTGAGAGGAAGCAGTTCCATGCCCTTGTGCAGCCAATGAGATCATGAATTGTCTTTGTGAATTGCCTGTGAATACTAATGCTTCACGGAGATGACTGTCTTCAATCTGCAACGACCAATGACATGGTCGAGATTCCTAGTGATTTGGATCCCACACAGTTGGAAACTGCCTGGATTTCACACACACCGTGCTCTGACACAGCCTGAGTTTGAGGTTACAGAATTGCTCGCTGAGCTGGTGTGTCTGATTGCAAATGTTTCGTCACCCTGCTAGGTAACTCTGGGGTGTTCGGTATTACTTCCGGTTCTGTTTCTCATTGGTTTGTACACAGGGTCAAATTCAATGTGTTTGTTGATGGAGTTCCGGTTGGAATTCCAGGCCTCCAGGAATTCCCTGGCGTGTCTCTGTTTGGCTCGTGCGATTATGGATGTGTTGTCCCAGTGGAATTTGTGTCCCTCGTTGTCCGTGTGCAGGAAGACAAGTGAGAATTGGTCGTGTCTCTTGAATTAGACCCTGTGTACAAACCACTGAGAAACAGAACCGGAAGTCATACCAACCACCCCAGCAAACAGAGGCATATAAATAACAAGCGGGACAGAACACGAATGCTTCACCGGAAGCGCACTGACGATGTTACCTAGCAGGGTGACGAAACGTCTGCAACCAAACACGCTGGCTTGGCGAGCAAGTCTACAGCCTCAACCACAACCCGAGCTACAAATCTTCTGGAAAACTTTAAACAGTCTGTATTTCACGCGCACAGCGCTCTGACAACTTCAACCAGGACCAAGTGATAATTGATGAAACGGCCTTTGAAGGGGATTCTCTGATTGTTCAGACGTTGAGCTCACATCATGATCCGGAAAAAAAATCACTCCCTTTGCCCACTTTGTGTGTGGGTGCCGCCATTTTCCAATCATGGGGTGCATTTCAGAAAGAACACATTATGGAAGCTGATACAAGATTCAGTTGGATGTTATGAGTGGTAGGTTCAGCCTGGCTATCCAGTGCACCCCCCACTTCTCCCTGAACCTCTATCTCCGTGTTGACCCGGCACTCCCTGGTGAGCCCATCACTACTGACCCAGCCCCTGCACATGCTCTAACCCACCAGCTGCAGTTACGACTGTAACTCTCATCCTTAGCACCTAGGCCGTGCTCCTCCAGTTTAATCCTGCCCCAGTACCATGACTACTCCCCGCATCAAGGGTCTTACCACCCATACTATCCCCTCCCCACTCCCACACACTACCAGCTCCCCACTTTGCACATTGAAGTTGCCCCTTCACTGACCTTGTCCCCTCAGTATCTCCGGGTGCAGCCTTCAATGGCCAACATTGAGGCCCCTCACTGCCCCATCACAACAGTGTCTTCTGAATACATCCCCCCCCAACCCCTCCTTGATGTTCATTGGGCTGATCCCCTAGGACCAATTGTGTCCCATCCGACACCAGCTCCCCTTCCCCAAACCTAGACCAATCCCAGACCAACATGGACAGACAGACCAGACTGACCAGGCCCCGACTGACCAGGCCCCGACTGACCATGGCCCTGCCCACTCTCCAATCAGAACCCTGACTAAAAATCCATGAATCCCCCTGACTGCCTGCATTGGACCTGCAGGACCGACTGTGGCCCCTTGCCGGGACTGGAATGAGACAGAGCCCCTGACCCTGACTGCCCAGAGTATATGGTTAAGCATTGCCCGAGCCCCTGGACTGTGAGTGGATACTGGCCTTGACTGACTGTACCTGGATACCCTGCCTGATTACAGCCTCCCCATAGGCTGGAAGTGACTGAGGACTGCTCCCCATTCAAGTTTGAGACGTGGCCACTCAGTAGTGTACACTTTGCTCCTGGCACATGACTGTAATAATGGGAACACAGTGCCATACAGCAATATGTCTAACTCTTTGACTGATCACTGCTGATAATCAGGACCTGTTAGTGCACTAAACATCGAGGTAAGACAGTTTTTAAGCTCTGACTGAGGGCACAAATCTCAAATAGGAGATTGTGAACTGATAGCAGAGTGAGTGAGTGCTGAGAGAGTGAGCAAACCACTCTGTAATACAGCCTGGTCAAATCTGGGGACTAGCCGCCTGTCCCTTGGTGCACAGTGTGTTTGAAGCAGCATTGCAATGGGAGGTGCTGGTGCGGTATTGAGATGCGGGAGCGCACTATGAGTAGATTGGAGATGTCCCATGCGGGTTCACTGAGGCTGGTAACACATCAGATGCCAGCGTCAGATGTGGATGTGAGGTCATAGACTCATAGACATGTATGGCACAGAAACAGACCCTTCAGTCTAACTCGCCCATGCCAACCAGATGTCCTAAATTCATGTAGTCTCAATTGCAAGCATTTGGCCCAAATCCCTCTAAACCTTTCCTATTCAGATACCCATACAGATGCCTTTTCAATGTTATAATTATACCAGCCTCCACCTCCTCCTCTGGCAGCTCATTCCATACACACACCACCCTCTGCGTGAAAAAGTTGCCCCTTAGGCCTCTTTTAAATCTTTCCCCTCTCACCTTAATCCTATGCCCTCTAGTTTAAGACTCCCCCATCCTGGGGAAAAGACCTTGACTATTGGCCCTATCTATGCCCCTCATGATTTTCTAAACTTCTTTAAGGTCACCCCTCAGCCTCCAATGCTCCAGGGAAAACTGCCCCAGCCTATTCAGTTTCTACCTATAGCTCAAACCCTCCGACCCTGGCAACATCCTTGTAAACTTTTTCTGAACCCTTTCAAGTTTCACAACATCCTTCCTGTAGCAGGGAGACCAGAATTGCATGCAGTATTCCAATAGTGACTTAACCAGCCACAACATGATCTCCCAACTCCTTTACTCAATGCGCTAACCAATAAAAGCAAGCATACCAAACGCCTTCTTCACTATCCTATCTACCTGCGACTCCACTTTCAAGGAACTATGAACCTGCACTCCAAGGTCTCTTTGTTCAGCAACACTCCCCAGGACCGTATCATTAAGTGTTTAAGTCCTGCCCTGTCTTGCCTATACATAATGCAGCATCTCACATTTATGGTATGGGCAGACACTGTCCATGGAATTAGCCCCGAGATCTGGGCAACAATTGTCAAAGGTGAAAGGGCAGAGAAGCAAGCAGTGAGATGGAGTCACCAGGTACCAACTCTGATATTCATCATGGGGAGTTGTCACTGTCTAGTTTCTATCTGGCAGGGTGGAGAATAGGAAACTGTGATTAGCTAATAATGAACAATAAGCTTTGTTAACATAATGCACATGGGAATCTTCCTCAATTACCAGGGCTTGGTTGGAAAATGTGATATTTTGGTCTTTACATTTATCTTTTTATCTTTTATCTAGTCTTTAAGGATCCTGTCCAACATCTCACCCTGGGCTGGGAAGATGTTGCCACCTGAATCCAACTGTGCCAGGGCAATGCTGGGAGTACTCACTCCTCAGTACAAACATTCCTAGGTATAAACAGCCGCTAGGTATAAAGCTCACAAGAGGCTAAAGATCGCGAGTAAAATCTCTTACCTCCTGGAGTCTGGAATTGGACTCCACATCGTTCATCTGGGACATCTTGTACAAGCAGATTAGCTTGTTCAACGTAACGGTCTGTATGAAACCCATCGATGGTTATAGTGAGGATGTACATGCGAATCCATTCAAAATCCAAGTATACTGGGTCATTTAGATATATCTACAGCAGACAGTGGTTTTAAAAAGTTGCATGAGTGACAGGGATTGACAGATTCAAAGCAAGTCCTGTACCAGGTTCTGAACAACGACTCAGGGCAATAAACACCGCCTCGCTGTTACATGAGAATGTATTTTAAAAGCTAGAGACTAATTGCTCAAAGGTGCCTTTATACCAGCATGCTCCCCATATGGTGAAATTGTGTCCGATGTGCAGCAAAGACCCAGCAATGCTTCCCTTTCAGGCTCCTGAGCACATTCAAACCAAATAGTGCAGGATTTCAGGTCTAGTGTATATAAAACAAATAGTGTGGGATTTGTAGCCTCGTCTAGTACAGAATACAAAGGGCAGTTGACAGTGGCCTTTTGTAAACATTAAATTCCAATTTGTGGAGACTTCAGCCAAACCTGGTCAGTTGGCACCCTCACTTACTCACAGCACAGTCCTGAAGATTAATTTCTACTACTTGGAGATTCCAGGACAATTTTGCAGAGTCAGTGACTTGAAGGCACTGTTGCTTCAGGTTCAAGCTCCGAGTGCCTCTGGTTGAAGGGGTAGACAGAACACTACACATACCTCCACTGTGTAAAAATTGGTACCCTCAACCTGATGGGTCTTTCTGAAAGTGAACAGGAAGTAGTCATCCTTTGGCATGGAAGTGACAGTGATCCCTGCGATCTCATCGTTGAACGCAACTATCTGGAATTCAAGGATCTTGGTTCCTGGAAGACTGTTTTCGGGCACTGTCACAATGCTTGCAAAATTTTCCAGAACTGAGCAGAGCAGGAAGACAGAAAAAAATCTCATTAATCTCAGCAAGAACGTCAGGAGATTACTATGTATCTGTCAGCCTCCGCTCAGTGGAAGCACTCCTGCCTTGTGATCTGGCTGCAATGTCAGAGGGGTCACCTTTCAGACAAAATGTCACATTAAGTCCCTGACTGCTCAGTCTGGTCAATGTCAGTGATCATCCAGTGGCCCCATTCTGAAGAAGGCCTGTGCAGCGATGCCCAGCACTCTGCAAACATTCGTCGCTTGAATGAGCAACCGGTTTCCACAAAGGGACCAGGCACTGAAAGAGAGAATCGGGTGGCCCGCACACAGCTGCTTGTGGGATCTTGCTGTGCGCAACTTAGCTGTTGTGAAATTTTCCATCTGAGAGGAGGTGGCTGAGATGAGGAGAAATGGCTTTTCTCTCAGAGGGTTGTGCAGTGGAGGCAGAATCAATCAACAGATTCAAGAAAGACATGGATACGTTTCTGATTAAAAACGGGAGAAAGGCCTATGGGGAGCAAGGCAGGAGAGCGGAGCTGAGGCCAGGATAAGGGCTGAGTTGCCTGCTCCCGTTCCTAATTCCTATGATCCTAACTTACCATCCTCTCACTGTCTCACAGAGGCTGCAATCTACCAGTGTCCCACAGTTCCTTCCTCGCCCTCCCTTGCTGTCCTCCCTCACTCCCTCACTCCAACTGCAAATCTGTCCAACCTGAAGTAAAATTACTTCTTAAAAGACTTACTGATCTCGCCTCCGTCACTGAAATCATCTGAAACAGAACATGAGAACAGATTGCAATCAATCATCAAGACATTACAAATAATTGAATGGAGCACAATGGTACGAAGCAAGTGAAAGAATTTAAGCATTTTCAAGCGTCACTGAAGTTTATATTCTGACCTGTTCAGTCTGGATAAGAATCACACAGCCCTGAGGACAGAGCACGGTTACACTGAGGACAGAGCGCTGTTACACTGAGGACAGAGCACTGTTACACTGAGGACAGAGCACTGTTACACTGAGGACAGAGCGCTGTTACACTGAGGGCAGAGCACTGTTACACTGAGGACAGAGCGCTGTTACACTGAGGACAGAGCACGGTTACACTGAGGACAGAGCACGGTTACACTGAGGACAGAGCGCTGTTACACTGAGGACAGAGCGCTGTTACACTGAGGACAGAGCACAGTTACACTGAGGACAGAGCGCTGTTACACTGAGGACAGAACACTGTTACACTGAGGACAGAACACTGCTACAAATGTAGGTTTTAATAAGATGTGGGAGCAGTGGGGCAGGCAGTCTCTGTGTCTCTCAGAAATCCTGTGATTGTTTAATATTAGGACAACAGTGACTGCAGCCATGAAAAAAGACACACAAACTAACACCCAGACAAGCATGGGCTCAGTCACACACTCACACACGCGCGCGCGCACACATACACACACACACACTCTCTCTCTCACACACACACACACACTCTCTCTCACACACACACTCTCTCTCTCACACACACACACTCTCTCTCACACACACACTCTCTCTCTCACACACACACACACACTCTCTCTCTCACACACACACACTCTCTCTCACACACACACACTCTCTCTCTTACACACACACTCTCTCTCTCACACACACACACACTCTCTCTCACACACACACACTCTCTCTCTTACACACATACACTCTCTCTCTCACACACACACACTCTCTCTCTTACACACACACACTCTTGCACACACTCTTGCACACACACACACTCTCGCACACACACACACTCTCGCACACACACACACTCTCGCACACACACTCACACACTCTCTCTCTTGCACACACACACTCGCACACACACACTCACACACTCAGATACACATACTCAGACACACACACTCACACACACACACACACACACAAACCCATACTCACATACATACTGAGACATACACACAGGCACATTTACAATTGCACTCATGTACAAAGACACACATACATGATCACCCAGACACCATCACATATACAAACACAAACATGCAAAGAGTAATGTAAATCCACATTTAAGCAGAGTCCCACATTTGCAAAGTCACATATATAGGCACTTCAGCATAATAAAGACGAACAATATAGACGTGAAAAGGAACAATAAATAGCTATCCTGAGAAGGTTGCATACTTCTTCAAAATATTCCATATTAACACACAAGGTGTCACTGTAAGGAGTCATTCATCAGTAACATGAGAAACAAGGAAGCAGACTGAGTGTTTTGACTTACTCCTCACGACAAGAACCAGGGGAAGCAGCCTGAGGAATGAGGACAACTCCATCCTGTGAGATCTTGGCCGAAAATCTGTCCCCAAGTCAGATTCTCCTGTCACTGAGTATCACCTCAGTCAGCATAAGTTCTCCCTCTGCCTCAACCCACCCTCGAGTGGCTAATCAAGCACTAGATAGAGCTACAAGGCATCAAGACCTAGCAACAGAGAAACAGAGCCTGTCCCACCCACACAACACAGAAACACAGGCTAACTCACCCACACAACAC